ATTGTTGTGCGATTCCTTTGAGAGTCGTTGGGAAACACTTGCACCAAGTGGGATCATCCAACCCTTGAAGGTACATCAGGTTGGTGAAGGCCATAAGATGGTCTTCTGGGTTAGTAGTGCCGTCATAGGCGCCTACTAATACATTTTTCACTTTGGCCGGCTGAGCGGCTTCAGTAATTTCCTTGGAGAAGGCTGACGGCTGTTCACCAATTCTAAGCAACCGTAGCTGCCAGTCCATAGGTTGGACGTTTTTTGCTGCATGTCCACCAAAAGGAGGTGGCTGTAAAAAATACTGTTGTTGCGGCACAAACGGTAAGTTTGGTACCGCCTGGTCGCTATGAAAGCCGGACTGACGGGAGGTGCCGCCTGACTGACTCTCATGATACGACTGAGTATGCCTCATTGAGGTATTTCGCAGACTGTCTTGGAAGTTTGAAGTAGAGGCCGACTCTGACAATCGGTCACTCTTCTTCTGCTCTAGCAGTAGCCGAGCGTCTGTGTATGATTTCCTCGACCCGTCCGCCTGAATATGACGAACAGGTTTCCTATTTCCTGGAGTAGGAAAACGGTATTTTGTGAAATCAAGGGCAGGTGGCTCCCGCTTCCTAGATTTAGGATGAGGAGTCGCCTCTCGCCCTTGAACTGGCTTCCTCTTCTGTGAAGAGGAGGGTTTCTTAGCCGACTGCTCCTTGTCTAGAGCAGGCGGCTTCTTGTTGATCAACTCTTGAATTTCTCCCTTGAAGTCCCTCATGAAGGTCATGAGTTCGTTCCTTGTGATGGGAGCAGACCCATCAGTCGGCTGCTGCCGAACAGGCGGTGCGCCTGCTGGCTCACTTCCAGTTTGAAGATGTTCCCGTTCCCTCCTTTCGGTATGACGGGTACGTCGGGCCCTTAGGGTCCCGTCTGAAGCTGTGTGAGCTTCAACTTCAAATTCACTCTCAGTATCGTGGTCCGACTGAACTTGAGGGTCGTCTAGGGCACGCCTCTCTTCAGGAGTCGGTACAGACTTGGATGCCATCTCAGAAGTACTCTCCCCACAGACGGCGCCAAATGTTTCGGGGTTTTCTGATGTCCTGCGGGAGAGTTACAATTCCGAGACTGGAACCGGACGCCTGTACCTGCAAAACAACGGAGACTCCTGGTGGTGGGAGCTCCGCCTCCAACGGTCAAGTTAGTACTTGATTAAGGAGTAATTAATGCGGAAATTAAAGTGATTGGGTCTCTCTAGGTGAGAGTGTTTAATGTGAGTTTTTAGCGTAATCTGCTTTGTTAGCGTGATCAGCCTATTATCTCTGTAATCCCCCCTTAATGAGGATTAAGGGAGGTATTTATAACCTTGGGAAACGTGCCAATCCTAGGTTTAGGTTAACCTAGGGCTGATTGGGCTTCCCTCGGAAGTTGGGCCTAGGTGGCCGGTTTCTCCATTAGGCATGGAGTATGCCACGTGTCATGACATAATAGGCCCAAGGTGGACGAATAAGCGTGTGCCACGTGGCAAGCCCTGACAGTTCCAACTGGGGGACACTTGGCAGGACCTGATTGGCCCACGTGGCGCATTTCGATTGGTGGGAGAAAAATCCCCTAATCAGGAAGCATCGCACGAATCACAATTGTCATATTTGATACTAGAAATTATAGTTGTTACCATAGACATGATTTCTATATCATAATAACAATGCAAACAATTAAAGCACTTACTTGGATGCCTCGTACCTCTTTCTTATAACAAAATACACGCGTTAGTAACTTCAAGGAAAATATAAATCAAACAATTAAATTAAATAATTGAAAGAGAGATTTGGATCCAAACCCTCAGAAATTAAAACCTTTCACGTCTAGGGCGAAGGCAACTTCGAACTTGGTTAGATGTGTCTAGATCTAATGAATGCGGAATTTTGTATGCAAAAAGCTAGTTTAGAAAAGAGAGAGAGAGTAGTCAAGAATTTCTTGAAGAGAGAGAATTGAGAATTAGAGAGTTGATTGTTGTTGATGGAAATTGATATTGAAAACGGAGATTTTAGGAGGCTATTTATAGAGAAAATCAGCCGGATGGATAAAAAAACAAATCAGAGTTTCGAAGAGAATAAAACAAATTAGCGCCAGACATTAGCGTCAGATGCTAAGCATTAGCGCCAGGCGCTAATCCCATCGTCAAACGCTAGAAAACAATTTCCACGCGTTTTCTTAATTTGATAAATTTTAGCCGTATAGGAGGGCAAAATCGTATTTTCCTTAAAAACACTTCTTTTATTCTGATAAAAACTCTAAAAAGTCAACCAAAGTCAAAACTTTAAATTAGGAATGAAAAGAACCTTCTAGAAGAATCTAGAAGACTATTGTTTTGGGTGTTTTTGTCCCTCGGGAGAGTTACAACACGAAGACTGATCCGGGGTGAGCTGTACCTGCAAAACAAACGGAGACACCAGTTGGGTGGTGCTCCGCCTCCGACGCACAAGTTAGAAACTTGAAGGGAGAAAAAGATGCGGAAATTTAGGTAGGGATCTGCTCGGATTCCAAGCTTAGGATGTCTCTATCAAAGAGTAAAAATGTGTAATAAATGATCAAACGTGTCCTCAAAAAGAGGGACTGACAGGGTAAAGTCGTATCCCCTAATCAAAAATAATTCCTAAATCACTAACTAAGGTAGATAGGGAAGTAGGGTCGATCTCCACAGGGAAACAAGTCTTTTTACTCCTAATTAAATATTATAATCTAAATTATTTAAGTAACCAATATTTATGAATGAATAAGAAACTAAACTACAAAGAATAGGAATAGGGAGAAAACAATATATAAAAGGATCTAGGGCATAGGTTCACCAATAAATAATACTCCAGGGTAAAACATAGTAATCAATCATTGACATTGCATAAATAACATGATTAACAGGCTCTCGCAATTTATTAAACAACATAGATCTAACAAGCTCTCGCAATTTACTAGATCTAAGTTCTTATTGAAAATAGCCTTTAATATCAAATTAACATCTGCTCGATTCATCAATTTAATATTGCTATACTTTTACAAACCGCAATTGTAAAACATTAAAACAATCCAATAAGAAATTATCATGCAATACCAACAATCAATAATAGTCAATCATCAATGCATCAATTAACCAAATTGTAAAGGGCTCTCGCTACTTATTACAATCACACAATTAATTTATCTGTATTAAATCTCATCTCTCGATTCTTGACTTAACCATTTATAAATTAACTCGCCTATTGAAACTAGACCTAAACATTAATTCTCATTTCTCGATTCTTGAATCAATATTGTCAAACTCATGCATAAAAGATAGGCCTAATCTAGTCACAGAGCATTAATTCAATCAATAGGAAATTAATCTAGCATTGATAATCAACAACAATAAATTACCCCTTCATATTATTTATTAGATCCCCAGAACCCTAGAAATTAAATTACTCACACATAATTAAATATAAACTAAGCAGAGCAATAAAATAAATCATGATCAAAGGAACAAAATAAATAACTAAGATTATGGGAGAAGAAATTGTTACCAAAATAAATCTGAAATTAATCAAAGAAATAATAACAAAGGTTTCGAGAGAGAGTTTAGAGAAAGAAGTCTAAGTAGAGAGAGAAAACTAAGAGAAAGGATTAAGAGAAGAAAAAGAGGACCTAAAATCGTATTACGGAGGAGTAATTATACTCCGTACAAAAATCCTAAACTGAAACAAATTAAAACGACGCTAATCGTCTCCTAAATATACACGCGCCCGATCGGGCGAGGCACCGCCCGATCGGGCGCGCCTTTTTTCACCTCTAACACTAATCTCGCGCCCAGCCGGGCGCGTCACCGGGCGCGCCTCCGGTCGCCAGCCTTTTTGGCCGGGCGGCTCATTTGGGCCAATATTTGGACTTCGATTGGGCTTCAATTCTTCGGGCCAATCTGGGTTTCCTCTTTGGGTCTTGAATACTCGGTCCAAACGCCCCGGTATCACCTATACCGAGCCCTTAATCACCGGTTCGATGACTCTAACCGGCCCTGGGCTATAAAATCTGGTCGTGCTTTTTCAATGCTCGTGATTGCTCCTAAATATCTCGGGAAAATACTCCAAAAGCATAAATCCCTGCAAAAGTCAACCAAACCTACGAAAACACTAGAAAACACCAATTAGTAATAAAAGTGGCTCTAAAGAGCCAAAAACACTACTAATTACGACCAAGGGACGGGGGTAAAATACAATATAAAATAGACACATCAGGGACATCTCCCTATTTATAGGGTCTTTGGGATTTGTGCCCCTGATTAGGTCACTGAACCCTAATCATAGGTGGGCTGCGCCGCTTTGCGGCTTTCTCGGGATTTGGGCCTGAAGGCCGCCTTTTCTCCTTATTTTCTGGAGTGACACGTGTCAAGTAGAGATTCGTCCACTTTGGGCCATCCTGAGGCTGACACGTGTCATCCTCTTATTGGACCACGTGGCGGGGTAAAATTACCCTAAACATTTGCCCCTCACAGATGTGACGTGGCACACCACGTGGCATCTGTGACATGTGTCACGCTCCGATTGGCGGTAATTTTACCATTAAGGAGTAACCGTTCACCTTCCGAGTAAATTACGGAAATGCCCCCGTATTTACCCTCTATATATAGCCGTTTACCCTCATAATTTTTGTACGTTCACAAAAAAATTTCTAGAGAGAACTTTGAGAGAGCTGAAGTCATCCGTTTGAGTCAGGCGCAAGCAAGAAAGCTCGTCTTCCAGAGACCCAGCCGGACCCACCTAGTTTCAGATATCTCTTCAAAAGGTACCGTCTCTGCCTCTCTCAGCTCTTTTTCTTTTTTCACCGCTTGTACATATTTCTTGCAATAAATGGATGCATCACCAACACACACGACACAGCCTAGGTTAGAGTCCAGCCGGTCACCAGGGACGGCTGAGTCTAGGACTGGGAGTGCCGTCTCGGGGTGTTGGGACCACCCTTTGCCTCGGATTTCGACCAGTTACGTGTCTGTGCAGGACACAATGGCTCGGATAAAGCAGACGGCGATTGATCCAAATTACAAGAGCGAAGGCACAGGCGGCCAAACGCCTGAGGGAGAAACGTCCGGTCAGGGTGACCAGACGACTCTGGAGGGATCCCCTCCGCGTGCCCCTTTAACCCCTGTTGACTCTTTCTTGGAAGAGTGCGACCAAGGCGGCGACGAGGCCGCCTCTGCCTCCTTGAATCAAAGTGAGGAGGAGACGGAGAACGACAACTTCGCCTCTACCTCTGAGAGTAGTGACGATTTACCCCCGCTTCCGGATAGCGAGGAGGAAGAAAGGAAGAAGTGGAACGAGAAGGATGATCCCTTCAACATCCAAGTCTCCTCCAAGGACCGAATCCAAATGGAGGAAAAATTGAAGAACTTTACTAAAATGCACCCGCTTGGAGACGGGTACAGGATCCGGGTGCCGCCTGAGAATGGCACCATCACCTGGGAGGACGATCAGGAGAACGCCAACAGCTATTTCGGCTGTTATGAGGCGGCGTTCAAGGCTGGTCTCCGCTTTCCCCTTCACCAGGCGGTGAAGGCAATTTTGAGAGGCTACGGCCTCGGAGTCTGGCAACTTACCCCCAACTCTTGGACAAACATTCTGGGGTATGTTGCCGCTTGCGAGTTCCAGGGGCTTAACCCCGGCTGAGAGGCTTTTGCTAGTATGCATTATCTTAGCAGAAGCCCAGGCAGCTGGAGGGCGTGGTACACTCTAACCACGCAGCCCCAATATATGATGACCTTGGACAAGGTCTCGAAATTCGACGGCTGGAAGCACAGGTTCTTCCTGATGTCAGCCCCAACCAGACGGGAGAATTATGAATTCCGTCTGTACAATAAGAAGCCCGACTTGTTGGGCCGAAAGTGTGCTCTTCCACGGGTCCCAGAGGAAGACTTTGACAAGATCATTGAGGCAGACTTTTTTGGCCTCACAGACGCGACCTTGTCAACCAGGGAGACAATAAAGGTCCCCAAGAACTGGATCCCCAAGAGCGCCTGGCTCAGGGACGAGTGCTTCCTAGCCGCCTGCGGGCTAGGGCACATGTTTTCCAAACGTATGCGCCTGAGTTTATATCCGTCTGTAGTATTTTTCTATCGAAATTGTTTTATGATATTGACCAATTTTCTTCTTTTTGCAGAAGAAGCATTAAACATGTTGCAGAAGGAGAAAACCCCAAAGCGATCCTCTGCTGTCATCCGCAAGGCGCTTGCGGAGAAGGCTGCGGCTGAGGTCAAAGCCAAGGTAACAAATGCCTGAACCTTTCATAAGTTGATCTTTTAAAATAATTTTTCCCGGATGCTAACCTTAACTTTGGTTATTTTGCAGGGAGGAGAGGTTGGAAAGTCGTTTGAGAAGCAACTCAAACGGGCTAGGGAGGAGACCCCTTCCGTTCTCAACAAAATCAAAAAATCCACCTCTGCATCAACTCCTAGCGCCTCAGCCGGGCATCAGCAGATGCGGATAGCAGGGCGACTCGAGAAGATAGGCGGCAGCGTGTGCCTTGATCTTGTCAACCCCTTATCAGCAGCCGCGGGGTTTACCACGCCTGCAAGCGGTTCCTGCTTGGCTGGCTCTGAAGGTAAGAACCCTTTTGAATCCCCGCTTGAGCTGGGGTGGCCTTTGCGGGTGAAATCCCACTCTCAACAGACGTCATCTTCAGACGGCCGACAACAAATAGGTGTTGCCTTAGTTTCGCACTCATCACGTATTGATTGTGGTGAAGATCAATCTCCCCGCTGGCAGACGTCCAGAAGCACGCTAAGGCCATGCTGGAAGCCGTCCAGAAGAGGGATAAAGACAGTATCCCTGGGATAGAGACGTTCAATCTTGAATGCATTCTATCCCTTCTAGCTGAGGTAAGAAACTTGTCAATTCAATTTTATTTTTTCCAAGTGTTTTATCCCGCTTACGATACTCACACCGCTTGCTTTTCTGCAGGCTATGCTGCGGGTGGACGGGCTCAAACGTCCTTATTCCCGCAAACGGGAAGAGGTAAAAAGGGCCAAGAAGTCCGCCATAGACGCTGACAATATTGCTTTACACTCAACTATCGTAAATGAACTTGAAACTAAAGCAATCATTATGACAAAGGCGTATAGAATCCAGCAGCTGGAGTCAGATCTAGAGGCGGCAAAGCAGCGGGCGACTGATGCTGAGACGGCCCAAAAGGAGGCGGAGGAGGCCCAGAAGAAGGCTGCTGAGAGTGCCAAAAAGGCTGATGAGGCGCTCAAGAAGGCCCAGACGGACCTTGGCAATCTTCAGGGTGTTTCTGAAGAGAACACCAATCTGAATACCAAGGTTCAAAAACTGGAGAAGGAGGCTGCTCAGGCTCAGATAAACTTTGCAGCAACCCTGGAGGCGGAGAAAAAACCGTCTAGTTGCTGAGAGTGACATTGATAATGACGTCCGGATGAAGATCGCCTGGGCTGCCCTGTACCCGGACGCGGATTATGGCGTCTGGGCACTGGCTCACAGGTACCTGAGAGAGAAGGGTGATCTAGAGCCTGAGTCCTTCGACGCATGGGTTAATGCCAATAATGAGCCCCTCGTACCTCAGTTACCTGGTCCGGGTGAAGCGCAGGAGATGCCCTCAGATGATGAGGAGGAGGACCAGGAGGAGCCGCCTGCAGGCCAGAAGTAACTTTTCAGCGGCAGTATGCCAATCTCTGTTTTTTGTCTTTCTTTTATTCAGCGGCAGTATGCCAAAACTTGTTTTTCCGGCCTGCGTGCCGAGTAAATTTGTATTTACCGGCTGAGGATCCGGGTCAATTAACAATTTCTTTTTCTCCCGGACGGGGTCCGGTTAACATTTTAATCCACTACAACTGTTTGGTTGGGTGGTCTTAATGAAATGCACCGACTGAGTCGGTTTTGATCATTTTGCATTTCAATTTTTAATTTTTCATTTTTGCCTAACTTATCAAAAGCATGCGGCGATTTTTAATTTTTGCCTAACTTATCAAAAGCATACGACGATTTTTCATTTTTGCCTAACTAATTAGTAGTCCGGCTGTCCTTGCCCCTGGACGGCTGTGTGGTTGGTTTCAAGTGGAATTGGTTGATTGACTTGAAAACGTCTGATGCTGTAAAGAGCATGATATGTTTACAAGTCAATTAATCACAATAGTGATTGCCCCAAACCAAGTGCACAGCTGTACACCAACAGGCGTTCCAGTCACTACCCAGACGGTGCTTATCCGTCTTGGTAGAGATTTCATAGCCATTGCACGACTCCTTTGCCCCAATTGAGGTAGAAATTGCAATTTTGGAATAAATAACAAGTGAGATCTTCAGCCGGTGACCGTCTGATGCCCCAGGGCATTCGGTATTCGGCAACTTGATCATTCTTCACAGGTCATTTTGGTCAGACGGCTATGAGTTGACCAATTTGGTCGTTCAATTTTCGCCGTCTACATGGGTACGTAGAACCGACAAATAGTCTGTTCTCTGCGACGATTGCACCCGGAGGGGTGTCGCTGGACGCCTTTGTCCATGTTGGGACAGGCGATTTTATAAAATTAGAAACCATCCGGCCATTTTAGCCTCTGGTTTTTGTTTGAGACCGGTTGTATAGCCACTAAACGTTTTTGTGCTTAGTTTTTAGTCAAAGTATTGAATTTACACTAAGTATCGAACTTAGTTTTTTAAACAAACGGGTCTGTCTGGGTATTACCCAGACGAACAGGAAAATATTTGATTATACTAAGTATCAAACTTAGTTAGATAAATGGAGAATCCGTCTGAGTATTACCCAGGCGGATAATCAAGCAGTTGAATAAACAAAGTATCAAACTTAAATAAACAAGGGATCCGAGTATTACCCAGGCGGTCTAACAAATGTAACCTTTACTATCAAACTTAGTTAGGTAAATGAAGAATCCGTCTGGGTATTACCCGGATGGATAATCAAACAATAACACAATTTTGCAAACAGAGTCCGAATCTTCATTAATTGACTTACTGTTTACAAAAAGTTTACAATTACAATCTCAGAAGTAGTACTTTTTTAGATTGTCTACATTCCAAGTTCTAGGCAGACGCCTGCCGTCTGGAGTTTCCAGGCGGTAGGTGTCATCCCTTACTTCTTCATAGATCCGGTAGGGGCCTTCCTAATTTGGGGTTAGCTTCCCCAACTCATTGGCCCTACCGGTTGCCTCCATTTTTCGTAACACTAAGTCGTCAGCTTTCAAAGGACGCTTGTGTAATTTTTTGTTGTAGGCACTCGTCATTCTCAGACGGTAAATCTCATGATGCAAGGCGGCATTGCCTCTCCGTTCTGGGAGTGAGTCCAATGCCAAGCGCATTGCTTCCCAATTTGCCTCTTCATCATATAGCATGACTCTGAGGGTCGGCTTGTAATGTTCGATGGGCAAGACGGCTTCAGCACCGTAAACCATGAGAAATTGGGTTTCACCGGTTGCCCCCTTTGCTGTTATCCGGATGGCCCATAGGACATGGATTAACTCTTCTGCCCATAAGCCACCGGCTCTTTCTATTTTCTTCTTAATGCCGTCTGAGATGAGTTTATTGAAGGGTTCAACTTGGCCGTTTGCTTGGGGCCGGCCAACGGATGCAAAATAGCTTTAGATCCCTTGATCTTCCAACCAAGTTTTTAGCTGAGGCGTCTCAAACTGAGGACCATTATCAAACACCATAGACATAGGTACCCCATACCGGGTGATAATGTTTTTCCAGATGAAGGAAATTACGTTTGAGGTTTTGATGTTTTTAACCGCCTCAGCTTCTACCCACTTGGTGAAATAATCCACAACCACCAAGATGTAGCGCTTTCCGCCTGGAGCAGGCATGTAAGGACCTAGAATGTCCATGCCCCATTTTGCAAACGGGATTGGACTGTGGATGGCCGTCAGATTAGTAGCCGGACGGTGAATGAGTTTGCCAAATTTTAGGCACTTGTCACATTTCTTTACCAACTCCTTGGCGTCTGCCTCAAGGGTGGGCCAAAAATAATGTCGTCTGGCTCTGACGGCTAGGGACTTTCCGCCTATGTGAGAGGCGCAGAATCCCGAGTGCAAGTCTTCGAGAACTTCTTTCCCCTTTTCTGGGGTGACACACTTCAACAAAGGCTTTAGAAACCCCGCCTTGAAGAGTTCTCCATTTTTTAACTCGAATCTTGCAGCTCGTTTTTTTCAGGATGGCTGCCTCCTGTGGCGAATCAGGAAGTGTGTCGTCTGAAAGATAGGCCCGGAAGCCATCCATCCAGGTGGAACTTCGGTCCAGAATTCCAATGGGATCCTCATAGATGCTTCTCTTTTCAAGAAATTCCCAGAAGACTGTCCGAGGCGTATCATGGCAGGTAGAAGACGCCAGTTTTGACAATGCATCCGCCTGATTATTTTCCGACCTAGGCACTTGACTCAGCCGGAATTCCTCAAGTGCCTTGGTCTCTTCTTTGACTGCCTGAAGATATTTAATCATAGCCGGATGAGTAGCCTCGTAGCTTCCCTCATACTGGCTAACAACCAATTGAGAATCAGAGTAGGCGTCAATTTTTGTCCCCTTACACATGCGAATGCCGGCTAGCAGGGCTTCATATTCCGCCTCATTGTTCTTTGTCCCCTTCAGGAGAATCGTAGATTACGCCTGCACCACAGCCGTTCTTTGTGGAGCTCCCGTCTACATACACTTTCCAAACCTGGTCAAGATTATCCGGAGCCACCAGACGGGTCATTTCAACAATGAAGTCGGCAAACGCCTGACCTTTCACTGCCTTTCTTGGTTCGTAAGTGATTTCAAGACTTTGCATTTCAATAGCCCATTTCAACATTCTCCCGGATGAGTCTAAGGTAGACATTGGCCGCTTGAGTGGCTGGTCGGTGTAAATCACTACCGGATGTACCAGAAATTAGGGCTTCAATTTTTTGAAAGCCATATATAGAGCAAGGCCAAATTTTTCAACCATGGGATACCGGAGTTCAGCATTTTTAAGAACATGGCTAATGAAGTAAACCGGGAGCTGCACGCCGTCTCGCTCAGCAATGAGAACGGCACTGAGGGCATGATCTGAGACGGCTAAGTACATGTACAACGTCTCCCTAGGTAAAGGACTGACCAACCTAGGTAAAAAATGTAAATTCTCTTTCAACCTCTTGAATGCCATCTCAGCATCATCCCCCCATTCAAATCTGGTCTTCTTCCTGATTGCTTGGAAGAAGTAGAGGCACTTGTCGCCTGACCCGCTGAGGAACCTCCCCAGACAGCCGGTGAGTCTCTGCACTTCCTTGACAGAACGGGGTGACTTCATGTCTATCACCGCCTGTATCTTTTCAGGGTTAGCCTCTATCCCCCTTTGATCAATCAGGAATCCGAGAAACTTCCCAGACTCAACACCAAAGACGCATTTCTTAGGATTTAACATAACCTTTTGCCGCCTGAGGGTGGTGAATGTTTCTCGGAGATCAGCAAGTTGATCCGTCTGGAGCTTGGATTTGACTATCATATCATCAATGTACGCCTCCACATTCCTCCCAATCTGATTAATGAAGACCGTATTAATCATCCGTTGGAAAGTGGCAGGCGCATTTTTCAAGCCAAACGGCATCATAGTATAACAAAAATAACCCCTGATTAGTGACGAAGGCCGTCTTCTCTTGATCTTTTTTCCACAGGGGTATCTGATGGAAGCCGGAGTAGGCATCCATGAAGCTCATCAAGGCGTGACCGGCTGTAGAATCGACCAGACTGTCGAAATTTGGAAGCGGGTAACTGTCCTTTGGACACGCCTTGTTGAGGTCTGTGTAATCAACACACATGTGCCAGGTCCCATTCGGTTTCTTAACAAGGACCACATTGGCCACCCAGTCGGGAAAATTAAAAGGCCGGATGAACCTGGCGTCTAGCAGCTTTTTGACTTCTGCAGCTGCCGCATGACTTCTTTCCTCACCGTGGTTTCTTTTCTTTTGCCGGATGGGCTTCTTTTTAGGATCCAAGGCGAGCTTGTGGACAGCAAGATCCGGGCTGACGCCTGGCATCTCTTCCACTTCAAAGGCAAAAATGTCTTTGAATTCCTTCAACAGAAGGTGCAAGTCTGCACCCAAAGTAGCATGAGCAACCGTCCCAACCTTTACAGTACGTTCCGGACGGCTGTCATCCAGAACGAGATCAATGCTTTCACCAGCCGGTTGGGGACGGAGCTCATCTGACCGTTCACCGGTCAGTGATTGCTATTTTTTCTCCTTCTTCACCTCCACTAGCAGAGGTGCCTTTCTTTTCTTTCCGGCTGCTGGTGGGGCAGGTGCTGGATTGGCATCCTTGACCGGGCCGTCTTCTGATCCCCATTCAAGGAACCAACAGAGCCGTCATCCCTCTCATATTTGATGAGCATCAGAGACGGGATGAATATTGCCTTGGCTACGTTGAGGGTT